AAATGAACTCGGCTGCCGAAAGGGAATCCGAATATACCTGAAATACGATATCGTCGCTGACTAATGCTAAATCAAGATAATGGAGAATCGAAATCATCAATACGTGGTGCGAGCCACGTAAATGCAAGTCGTGCACTGCTGAAGAGTGCAACCAAAATGCTAGGTTTGAAAGCCGCACTAACAAGAGTCTTGATGAGAGGAGCTATGTTGGTCAGTTAGAACTGACACGAAGCAAAATGTCTTAGATTTCTCCAAAACCCAATACAAGTAATAATATAGACGAATATGGAGTAGGAAAACCTCAGCTAACCGATAAATCATTCGTCCTATTAGGCGGGGATTGAATGAGTGATCAGAAGCTGCAAGAATAGACGCGTCAATTGGAGAATAATTTAGCCCGAACTGCCAAGAATCTATAGCTCGTCTGAATATTCTGCTATGCAGCCTTAAGTGATAATCATATGTTCGAGTTTCAAAGAGGTTATCACACACACGAATATGGAGTAGAAGCACCTCCAAATAACTATAGCTGATCGTCTATACCACAATCCACCGCGTGTGACTTCCATTGGGGGATATGGCGTAAAAATTAATTCGGAACCAATCAATTTATTTTCCTAGACTATACGACTCCTCGATTTTATTATAGAATGTAACCTCCAAGAATAATATATCGTCAATGTTTTTGAATTCTACAATAAATGCGAAGCCCAACAAAATAGAGAAGACAATAAAGATCAAAAGAACACATGCAAATCAATGTCTAAAAGGGCGAGGGATGATGACACATACAAATATTGTTGACAAGAAGCCAAAATTAAACATGGCGCAAAGCAGCATCTTCCGTAAAATATGCTAAATAAGTAGGCATTGCTCGAATGTGTCAATTTTAAACCCTGCAAAATTGCACTGAGCAGAATAAGTTGCCGATAAAAAAGACAACACAAGAAACTTACCACGACAGGATTAATAGTGAGGTCAAAAGCAATAAAACGTAATAAAAATAAGCATCACCATTGTAGATAAGGCAAAATATAGACGGAAGGTAAGCCCCATGGGTAGGCACGTACACTTAAAAATGACCAGATATACTAATAGATTTCAAAAGAGCGGCTTGTTTCATTAACAATTTA